GAATACTCCAGGACCATCAGGTTATGACAATTACCAATTTTTCACTGATTGATTTATCTCTTATTAAAGACATTCTCTTAATATACTAGATATTATATCTCATTTCTATTTATTTATGTATTGTTACCCATTTATAACATATGCGGAAATAAATTCAAATAATGTCTGTATAACAATTAATTCCATCAAATATTAAATTCATCGTTTATAACATTAATTTATTAATTAATGCGTCTCTGCGGAACGTTCTACTATTCAATGCACACAGCTTTAATAGGGAATAAGCTTGGCGCATTGAGTTAATCTCGAGATAATGAAGATACTATCTAGAATCACTCTACGGCTAATCTGAACCTGATCGCAAGCTGCATGCGCACAAGCTTGAACTCGAGAGAGAGAGAGGGGGAGGGAGGGAGAGGGAGAGACTATTATTAGTAAACCGATTAAAAATCAGAAAGACTAATTAAACGGATATTTAATTAAAACTATGAACCATCCTGATGAAAGATCCCGATCAGTTTGACTCATGTGTTTTTTAAATCAAAATGGATATCAACTGAACTGTTTCAATGGCGTGCTTGATTACCTTCTATCTCACTACTCATTGACTTCAATCGAAAGGATATACAACCATTTCCGAACAACCGTCTACTCTGATCCTTAATATCTAAGTAAACTATAAATTAATGTCCTTTTCTTGAAATATATAAGAATGAAACTAATTATCACAGATCACTACAACGAAATAAAATTACAAAGATAATGATAATGAAATCAGTATAATCTAGACCTTGATTTTTCTTATCCCCGCTTATCAAAGGACTTTTTCATATAATTTGAGAGATTACTTTTATTACCTAAAGAAATAGCCGTGATCCCTCTTTCTCCTCCATTCCACCTTCATTTTTCTTATCTTTATTAGAAAAATTAACGAAAGAATGATTATTCTAGAAAGGAGAGACGATAACTTTCTTATTATGATATATTATCATGTTCGACTATTCTTTTTAAATTAAGCACAGTCTACTATTTTGCAGTCTTTTTTCAATACATTACAGCAAACATTACTTCATTTTTCATGTCGTCTGAACCTGTATATACATGCACACACGCATTACAAACTTCTAAGCTAAATGTACAATATTTGCGTGACTATCAGACTCCAGCGGCCTTTACAGATATTAAATTAGAAACAGCGTCATATTCCATAGGGCTTAGAGAATCGTGGAAACTCACGTCAGTGCCAACCGACCGCAGGCGAATATTCTGTAACGTAGTGCAGGAACAAAATTATGAATAAAATAGCCGGACCGGAGGGCGCGCATATAATCGGGAACTATTTCACCGTTCACACGGTATCGTTTCGCTCGGTCGACAATTACATAGCGACAGTAATACGAGTGGCGTATATATCCAACGACAATAGTAATCGCTATCGCGACGATGGGACTCGGCCTCTCGTCGACCGGGAGTTACGTGTCGCATAAAACGACGCTCGCGTTGAAAGGAGGATCAATTTAACGATCGCACAGTTCTGGTTCTCACAGGAAGAGGCGCCGCGAGTCGAATGACGAAGGAAGAGCTCCTTTATACAACGGTTTACGCATCTTTATCTTTATGATTACGTTCACGTAAAATCGGGGTTTAATATAAAGCAAGCAGGACTTCCTAGGGCGGATCTTATACCGTGCACTCTTGGGCACATCCATCTTGGAAGGCCATGCGAAAGGAGCGCGAGGGAAGGCAAGAGAGACGGCTTGTATAGCTGAAAGAAGCGCCCGAATGCATTAACTTAAATATCTCGAGCATAACTCGGACTCCAGGGAAGTCTCGGTTAACACACAAGGTTCTCCTAGCCTTCAGTCCTCTCAAAGTTTTGACTAATAAGAGTCACGCTTCTTTACGTCAGTTATTTGCAGCAACTGCTTTGGCATAATCAGAATTTAATGTTATAAATCTTTCACAAGAAGTATTTTTAATAAATTAATATTCTTCATGTATGTCACCGTTGCGTTAGTAAGGAATACCTATTATAACTAGTGAATTTATGCTTATTTTATGATCATATAAATAAATTATAAATAAAGATAGTGATATCGAAATAATAACTGCGATTCGCGTTACGTTTCATCCATCTTTGGAAAAAAAAATGAAATTTTCAAGCGAATTGCGAATAATGCACGCGGAATTTCAACGAATGCGTTTAGGATGTCGCATTCGACAACCAGGCGACTTCGAAGGCGGGACGAATGTGATTGATCTACGAGTTTGCAGATCCGGCGATTTTTCCGGGCAGTTATGAATGCGATTCGAGACTTCCCGAAGGGAATAAAAGCGCAACGGGAGGAAACGCACAAATCACCGAGTATCTCCTGAGTATCTAGGACGGCGAATTGCGAGCATTCATAACGCAACGAAGGTGCAGTTCGCGCCACTTACAGAACGACGATAACTTTGTCACCCGGGGTGCCTCGTGGCGGTTCTGTATTATTCGTACCCTGGGCGCGCGTATCTGTCGGCCGCGATAAATATTGCGAACCCATCAGATTCCTAGCGCCTGGGGGACCGAACATTAAAGTAAACTTCGTTGAACACATTCGAATTCATAACTGAATTTTCCATCTTAGAAAAATAGGGTAATACACAGTAAAAAATTTAATGCTAATGAAAGTCCACTCTAAATTTTGTGTTAAAATAACTCATTCATCGTGTTACTTGTTGACATTTAGAAATGTTATATCGACATTTTTTACAATGTATGTTTACAATAATGTAAAAATAACTTCATTGTGTCAACAAGTAACACGATGAATGAGTTATTTTAACACAAAATTTAGAGTGGACTTTCATTGACATTTGTTACACAAAATTTTTTACTGTGTATAGTTGAAATAGAAGAATCTAACATGTAATTCTTAATATCGTAATATATAATCACGTGGTCTCAGTATCATCAGTATAACAATAATTAGTATTTTCTGAATCAAGCTTCGTTTTACTGAGAATATTTAATATAAATTGTGAATAATTAATAATTAAAATATAAAAATGAAATATGTCTTGATGTGTAAAAATTAATCGACCTGTCAAAACTAGATGAAACTGGCGCATGACAACTTTTTATGTAAGAATGATTCTATTAAAGCAATACCTTGTAACGAAATTAATTACAAACTTTATACAACGACGGACATGTTGCTACAATTAAGAGCTATCTTTCTTATCCAATTTTTGCGGGCGTTTCTTCATGTATATATTCCCTCTCAACTTGAATGTTTCAACGCCGTCGTAAATAAGCGAGATAGTTTATCCTGCACTCGGAACGTTCTAAGCACTTGCTACGAGCAGTTGAAAAAAGGTGGCGCATGTACTTTTGATGTACTATATACTGTGTCCGAGGCGCAATAAGAGCCGTAATGCCCGACGCCATAATTCCGCCGTTAAATGGCCGACGTCCGACGCCCGCGCCGTGAAAGCGCGACAGGTCGATCGATCGCGTGACCGGCTTGATCGGCATCCGTTATTGTGCGTGATGAAAAAATCGGGTCCCTTGGGCTCTCCCTTTCACAGCGTCTCATTATGAATATCAATCAATCTGTGTCATTCGATCCGTTATCATCGCGATGTCGTGAAAGTAATCTCAAATGCGAACGAGTTAATAGTCAAGAAAAAGCGACAATAACTATAATAGCTTTTAGTTTGGATTGTAAGACTTAAGCAACAAACATGTTTTAAAATATCTCAGATACATGACCAAAAAATTAGATCAAAAAGTTCTGAGATGCGGTTATCGAATAACAGATTATCTCAAATAGACTTAAAATGTATACGATAAATTTAATTAGTTATTTTAGTTTGACCTATCAGCATATATTAGTAGCACTTACATTTTGTTAAAAATATAAAAGCATTTTAAATGATAATGTACAATAAAAAAAATATAACAGATAATAAATTTAAAAAATTCAATTTTTTACGAACATCCTTAAGTTTTCATTAATTGATCAAATAATGCCCGATTGATCAAATAAATCGCTCTGTAGTGCGATCGTTAATAACGCTATCAATAATATAAACTATTTTATCAATCAATGAAAATCAATTCTTTTAAGTACTATCGGCTTATTCCCATCTAATCTTCTAATGCCTAAAAAGAGGACAAAAGGAAGAGAATAAAAGTAAGAAAGTTAAGAAACGGGGATGCTGAATGCAGCAGAGGAAGGAGCGACTTTATCTACAATTCTCGATACGCGGAACGAATCGGCAGCGAACGATTCTTCATTTCCTCCTCCTTTGTGTCGCCGCTATACGGTCTCGTTAATTAGAACCGTTGCTACCGGAGCTCGCTTCGGATCCTCGTTACCCCTTTTTTCCCCTCCTCTCCCCAATAGGAAGACAATTGTTTCTCAGGCTTCTCATTGTTATCTCTTATCGACGAATAGTGAAGACGCTGCCTTGAGAAAGTCACAGCAGCGTGTAATAGAGATTAATCATTCCCGTTTATACCGCCGTTTTTGTTGCTGCGATTCTCTTCGGAAGAGAGACTAGCGGATGTTACTTTCATTATTCTGATGAAATGAGTAATGGGATCTGAATCAACGTCCAAGTTGCCAATAAACAGTAAGAATCGCGCGGCATTAGGATTAGCATCAAAAATTCCCGATCTTTTTATGTAAAATAACGTAGCAGATTTGTTATTTCCATAACAACGACGTTTGCTTCATATTCTCGGCGAATTTCGGTTGCGTATCCTACGAAACGTGTCGCTGCATGTATGGAGGGGAAACATTATTTCGTGTTAGGGTTTATTTACTTTCTCGAACTCCAACAGCTGGGATGTATATGATGATAAAGTTCATGTAACGCGAGTAAAACGTATCGAAGTTTGATTACTCGGATCACGGATCACGGGGGAACGAGCTGAAGTTACACGTCAAAATTTGTGTCTGTCGTCAAGCAACTTTCGGCACACCCGGTATATACTTGTAAAGAGCGTTTACCTGTTATTAGCCGCCGCGCCGCTGCTCTTCGAGAGTACGTATGTGCCTTCCGTTCATACGACTGGAGGAGTCTGGAAACAGAACAGAATGCGGGTGTAATTACGATTAGCGCCACGCTAATTACCATCTAATTGCCTAATTACGGTCGAGTGCTATCTATTTTCAAGCTGAGACAGATTAACTTATTATCGGAAAGGTAATAAGAAACTTCATGGCACTTGCAGGAGTATCCATTGTAAGTGCGCTCGAAAAGATTTAATTGTTTTCTTACTATACTTATATATTGAACGTCGAATTAACAAATAAACACATAGAACAGGTATTATTGCGTCGAATTTAAATGCAATTTCTTTTACGGATTTGAAGTCGACATATGCTTCGTGTTCCAGCTTATTTTGACTTAATTTGGTTTTAAAATTTAATTACGTTAATCCTGTAATTAATTGTACATACATAAATTAATCATAACGCACGATATCGCGAAAGCTACGTGGTATATACATGTGCAAACATAGTTCAAACAAGCCCAGCGTAAATCTTCACGCGCGTAATATAAATCAATCACCGCGAAACACGGGATAACAAAACAAAAAGATTAGTATGCAAAATATTAGCGGGAAATTGTCACGAACTCGATTACAATCTGCTCCGCGCTGCGTCGCGTTTCCCTATAATCGAATGCACATAACACGGCGCCGGAGATCGATAATCGTGTAACCAATTCCGGCTCCACAATGTGGTCCCTCGGACCTCGGACCATACACGGGATCTTACATCTCCGCGGGCGGAAAGTAAAGCGGACAGTTTGCCCAGAAGCTTATTATGCGCGCACGGCCAATAATAGGCGGTGTGTCAAACGCAATGTGTACCAAGGTGATGCAGGGCCGACATTGTACCTGGCCGCGTCATGTAGTTCCAGCACACATTCGGACAATTGTATATCGGTCGTGAAACTCGCGGTCCCGCGACGTCGCACGGCACTGGCAATTTTGCCGTCGCTAAAGTTCTGACCGCCTTCATACAGTTACAAAATGAGGTTAAGATAGAATCGACGACCGTTGCCACTATTGTCTTTGCGTACTCACGCTTTGAAACGATTTTCGTGCACTTGTTATCGCTCGACGCTACGAATGCGAACCGCGAGCGCGCAACAGCATCGACGGCAAGCGCGCTTACCCCGTTTGTAATTAGCACCAAACGCGGCGTATAATAGTTTCGGTCCGCACGAAACAAACGTTTGAACGTGTTATCTCAAAAAGCGTCCTAAGCAATGAATGCTTTTGGAAAACTAAGAAAGAAATTGCACTGCGTTCGACATGAAAATTCTTGGAAATTTGTTCAAAATATTCAACAATATTCAACAATATTAAAAGTAGAATGTCCTATGACAGCATTTTAACAACTACGGAAAATGTTATTCGACTATACTTGATTCATTCTAAAATAAAATTCGACGTTATAAATTTTCATGAAATATACAACAGTTAAATATAAGTTCGTAGTACTAGAATATGATAACATTTCCGTCAACAATGTATATCAGAGTATCGTAAACATGTTTATTAAATATCATAATTCATTTACAATCGAACTTTTCATGGTAGAACCTTTCAAAATTGTTAAATTCTGTTTGATTATTTTTTGATCAAATTTTATAACATTCGTGACATCTATTTATATGTACACTAATAGACATTTTACCGAATAATCTTTGTATTGTACATAAATCACCTGAAATATATATAGATATATCGATGAAAAGAAGCCGGCCTCATCGCTACGTAAAAAAGGAGTGCACAGATGGTCGACATCGTAAAATTCTCAACAGAAAACGCGCTTTTGATATATCACGTGTAAAATGTGCTTATTTGGAAAACTTCCTTAGCATCGTAATTTGCGGCTGTACATAAAACGTCAAGGGCGCTACGTCTAATTAATACGTGATGTGGAACAAATGTTTACAGTGTAATAAAGTCGGTAACGTGTCAGACATGCCTGGTTAACGTAGATTAGAATTTATCGTGTAATGCTAAAATATATAGCGTTACGCTGTGGTTGTGCAAATAAAATAACAAAAATAGCTGTATTATAATCGACGAAATAAAAAAAAATTAAATTATGTAGTGATCTTTATTAATAAAATAAAATTTCAATAACACAGAGGAACTTTGTTTTTAAAATTTTCATTTTTAGTTACGCTATTAATTTCATTGGAAAGACAGTTTCAGCTTTTATTATATCACCTCATTAATAATAATTCAAGAAATAAACGCGCTAAAGAATAGAAGGAAAAGACGGTTTCGATGTTATTTTATTCCGTTACTTATTCTCGTTTATTTAAAACTCTTCTTTAAAATAGTATGTTTATCACTTTTATAAAGAATTTGATTTAGCTTGTTTAAAAAATTCAAACATATGAGAGCAATTTATATATAAAACTTTCAGGTAGCTCTTTATTTAACGATCAATATTAATAACAGAATTCAGTACGTAAATATATTATTCGTAAATGTTTTAGAACTGTAGCATATATTCTCATAAATGGAGAGTATATATATTCAAAATACAACAGAGAGTAACATAGCATTATATATATCTGAAGAAGATTGACTTGATTGAAACATTAAATTGGCTTTCCGAAATTAATAAAGTTCAAACAGAAGATTGAATAACGAATAACATAAATGACGCTGTCGATAAGACGAACTGATTTCGAGCGTTCCTAACGGGATACAATCACAACGCCGTTTCCGTTTTCGGTAGTCAATCCAAATCGAACCTTACGCATTTGTCCGTGTTCTATCGAGACATTGACGAACACGTTCATTAACATGCAACGATACCCGCGTCTATTTAGTCACGTAGTGACGTTTAACTGTCCGACATGTCTGGCCATACGTCGGCATTCACCACAACTTTCTCTTAATACATTTGCTTAATTTATTATAGCTAAACTCATGGATAACATGTAAACTGAAGATTCTTGGATACTCAACGCGAAATCTATCAAGTTTTACATCACTATTTCAGTTTCTATATTTAGTAGAAACATTTTTGTCAACATTCATTAAATTATTAATTTCCATCGTACTGGTTCGCTATTCTGAAAGATAGACAGATTAATTTATTAATTATTGCCACTTAATTAATCTCATTAGTTAATCATTCTGTTATTAAATATAATCTTTCTTTAAATTTTAATAGCTGCGTCTCTCCAAGCGAGAATTTGTCGGTTATTTATATCCATTATTGATCTACATATTTTAGCTATGCCACGGTAATTATATATGATAATTGCAATACTTCTATTCTATTTAGGTTTTTAATCACGCATTTTTTTTACAAAAGATATATTATTATCTTTACACGGCATACAAATAAGTTATTATTTATTAAAAATGATCTCGCGAATATATGTACGTATAAACGTGGATCAGAGTCTGTAGAGCTTACGCTCTATGTAATTTACATTAGTTTTTCAGAATTTATATTAATTTTGAGCCCAGTTATATGTTGTATTTGCTTCGTTCTAATATTCATCGTTATTATTTTTAATAATGTCTATGCAGCCGAAATATCACTGAATTTGTATCACTTTTTGAATCAACAAATCGCATGGTTTTTATTGAAAAAGAATTAAATACCTTTTATTAGATTTGACATAGAAGCACTCGATGTGCGTTTTACATAAAAGCCGTCCACTCGATCCTCTCTTTCAGCCTCATCTGATATCCTAAATGCGAAATCCGAGATTAATCCGGTGGCGCTGACAAAATTCGCGGATTAAATCGCTTCGATCCGGTAATCGGAAAGTGACGAGGAGATATTCGACTGGCGAGATTTAATGGACAGACGTCATATATCGTGCAAAAAATGCGTGCTTCGGACTAATGCTCCGTTGTATTCTGAGATTTGAAAACGACAGGAACAGAGGTTTGAAAGAGAGAAATGTAGATGGAACGGTATAAACTTATAAGTCGCGACGCTGTCAGAATAATATAAATGCATTAAAAGCTACATTAGTTTACCTGTAAAATTATATTATATTTAAAAGGATCAAGCATATGTCATGTCTTAAAGACACGCCGAATAATTAACCATGACAAATACTAGAAATAAGCACTGGGTGGCTGCTTTTCTTTTCCCCCTTTCCGTCTCACGATTATAATTAATAGAATTAACAGAACCATTAACAAAATTTGTATGAATTGTATGAACAAACCCTCGATAGATGCGGCTTTATAATAAGAAAATACTTTAAGTCTAATTTGTACAACAATTAAAATTAAAACTTAGAACAGAAAATTCTATTGGTTCTATTCTATCCAAAGTTAGTTCTCTAAATATATATTTTAAATAAAATTTTAAATTAATATAAATTAATATATAAAATATTTAAAACTGATTTGTAAAATTCATTTATTTATTTATTAGTTCTAAAATATTCTAATTTCTAAGTTCTCAAATTTAATGACTCTAGACTAGAATTATTAACGTAATATGAGTAACACGCATTGAAAATATGTTTATTTTGATTCCGAGTGGTGGACTGAATTACCTGAATAAACATTTCTATGTATTGGTTTAGTCATTTAACGCTTAAGTAGCAATCAGTATTGTTTAACATAATGCAGTTCGAAATACACATACGTAAATCATAATTTGGGTTAATTCGGGCATCGTGAACGCACTTCTCGTACTAACCACGGAAACATTACAAACATTTACAGTTGCGATCAATTAGGTATATGTGTAACATTAAAACGTTCTCCTCCTGCGAATATTTTACTTAGCACGAAAATTAACCTATTCGTTACCATCGTTCTCCTACTGAATATAAATTTTTGCTTCAATTAAAGAGTGTGATGATCACTCTATTGATAATTGAACATTTTAGTAACATAAATTTTCCATAGATTTATTCGTGATTTATTTTCTCAATTCATGCTATTAAGTGCGATTTATTTAAACTAAAACTAATTAAATTTTACAATAATAAATTATATAAATAATAAATTAATCAAATCGATGTCAATATCGGAAAAAAATAATAGTAACATGTTTCAAAATAAGAATAGAAAACAAAATGTAGGTTACATTCCAGAATAATCTTCTATATATATAACTTTTGTGACTGCTTAAAAAAAATAGAAAAAATTGACCAGTATAACATCAATCAACACATAAGTACTTTGTTCAAAGTTTATTGTAACACTCATTAATTAAAAATATTTTCAAACCCAAGACCTATAAATGATCTATAAGATACCTAATATCTTAATTAATATTAAGATTAATTAAAGTCATCTAAGATCAATTAAGATATTATTATCCATCGTTAAGTTATTCGCTAATGTTGCCTAATATAAAAGGCAAAATTTATACAAAAACAATATTCACAGAAAAGTTCGTTTAGAAGCTTCAGCAGATAATGAGTTAAAATCGAGGATAGAAGCATTTTCTGCTACATCCTCTTTATATCTTTCGAAGGCAACAGCCTTGAATAAGTATATTAAGAATATTTAACCGACTTTACTCTTATATAAACATTTAATCTGTAGCTTATTGTCCGCATTCATCATAATAACTTACGATATTACGACCTCAAGTATGAGGGCTATTTGTAACTGGAGGAGTTACGGTAATTCCATCGCTAAGTTTAGAACTGATGCGGGCGAGAGTTAAGTATTTAAGACGCTGTTAAAGTTTCACAGACTTTCCCGTGGACTCACTACTCGGGCTTTTTGAAGTGAGCAGCTGGCAAGGAGCTCTGCTATATATAAAGCACATTCAGGACACATACGCTTTCTCTCTCTCTCTCTCTCTCTCTCTCTTTCTCTCTCTTTCTTTCTCCTTCTCTTCTTAGTCTAATATGCCCGGAAAATTCTTCTAAATATTTGATCACGCGGACCAGTCCGGATTTTACAGGCCGTACAATAATCCTCGCGCGGTGTACGCCCTCAGCTAACTCAATTCTCCCTCTTTCTCTCCTCGTGCTCTAATAACTCGACGAAAATTAAGCTTATTCTTGTTATCTCCGCTCTCAATCCGCGCTCTACAGACTCCTTTCGCGCGCGCAGGATTAAATTTGTCTAACTCCAGCTGAGAACCGCATATTCTTTCTACCTAAGCAAAATAATTAATGTTGACCTAATAAATCAAAGAAGAATATCATGAAGGCTCTACTAGTAAAAAAAATAATATCATAAAATAGACTTTTTTTATAATGTTTCCTTCAAATATATTACTTTTATCATTAGCTCAATAAAGACGAGAATTTTGTATGAAATAGAAATAGACATAAAAATTATATTTAAAATTTAGATTATTACAGCTATATGTGATTGCGTTATTAGAAATTGTTTACCTAACACCAAAATAACTTTCTTTTGGCATTTCATTTACTAGAATTCTATTACTATGAGGCAATAATGAAAATAATACTATTAATTTTTTTGTTTCTAAATTAAACAATAAATGTAAGATTATTTATAGTTAATAATTATTTATTGTAAAGACTTTATTTATTTATGCAGAGAGAGAGAGAGAGAGAGAGAGAGAGCGAAAGTTTTATCAAGTCTATTTTTTTAATGCCATGCAAACATTTTCGAGGATTACTGCAACAAACATTTATGAGTTCTGAAATATGTATGAGTTTTCATTTCTAATGTCATAATCATTGCTGTGACCGATTTAGAATATATGAATGCCTAGTAAACTTTATTTTCAAAATAATTATTAAGATGACATAACAATATATATTTGTAATATTATATTTTATTTACGTAAATTTTAACCTATTACACAGCACAAATTGAATTTATTAATATCAATGAATACAATATACATATAAATTTTTATCTTTTCTACTTTCAACACAAAATTAACAGTGAGATAATAGAATAACCAAAGAACGCCAGTTATTGCTGTTGCTATTTATATAATGTCAACTATATATTATATATAATTTCAGTACAGTAATATTACTAATAGTACTAATAATATTAATATTTATAAAATTCTTTAAATATTTTCCTCGCGTTCTCTTTTAAAATTTAATCTCAATATATATCATTCATAGCGTTTTCCGTGTACAACAACTTCCATTAATTTCTTTAACATTCCTACGTCAAGCGCGCTTATCAAGATAAATATTACAGAAAATAGAAAGATTATCTAAGATATATGCGTACCTATCGAAAAAACATGCGATTTTAGATATTACACACGCCGAAAATATAAACGACTCCTACGAGCAGACATTCTCCCCCTCTCTCCCACGCTTTATAGCAGGCTTTAACTTCCAAGATGACTAACATGCTGTAACGCAGTCAACCTCAGTCATCTCGCGCAGAACGTTCGCAGCGGAAGGTAGTCAGATCGATCGCGATCGAAATTATTGTCGCGTAATATTCGACATTCTTTATTATTTCGCGACTCGATCTCTATCCAAAAGCACATTGTTGTGAAAACATTATTGTTATAAAATCATTCTTCATTTCTCGAAGATAAATTTGTGTTGCCTATCCGTGAAACAGTGTGTTCAATAAAATAATTGTACGCACTAATAAAAAGCTCAATTGAGTTTAAAAAAGTTCTTTGAGTTTAAAAAGTTATTTATAACGTGCACGTTCGAGTTTTCAGAACGTTTTTAATTTGTGGCACAAAAACCCACAAAGTTATAATAATCTCGTTTGCATTTCGACTAAAGCCATGTGAATATTAACTGTATGATAATATATTAACAACTTTGAAGCATATTTTAATCTTCCACAGATGTATGAAATGTTATGAAAAAAAATTTCACAGTTCCTTCCTTAGAATTTCGAGAGATATTATTTAAATCTTTGATAGTTAAAATGATATAATGACTCATTACGCTGTATTTGTTATTTCCCTTCACGAAACTGTTTCCTATCAACGAAGTATAGACAATAAGTATAGACGAACATTGCCGATACAACCCGGAGCGACTTTTCAACTGTACAAATCCGAGGCAGTTGTTTCGTGAACGAAAAAAGTATTACGACTGCAGCAGACGTAACACGACCGGTGGGAAAAAAAAAAGAAACAAGCTTTTGCACCGACCGAAAACCGTAAAATGCACCGTAAAGCGCGTTACTGCGGGCCATTTAGAAAGATCGATCGATCCCGTGAACACTTTCAGAATGATCGATGCACCGTCCCAGTATGCCGGTTCCTTTTTCCAAAATAAAAGACTGAAATCGTTGCCTGTGCGGAGATAAATCACCGATTTTCTCCAGTAGTGTGTATTGAAAAATACGGGAATCATAAATTGTGGTAATCTTGATAATATACAAAGTCTCAGAAAGCAATATATTATTTATTACCCCGTGCATGTATTTAAAAAGTTACTCTTCTTAACATTGATCAATGGGAGATATATCAGCTCCTGTCACAGATCGTCACGTACGTCAGGTATTTGATCGAATTATCATTTCATTTCTTGACTTCGTTAAAAATTTAAAAGACGTCGCGACTCAAGAATGCATCAATTTATATCTGATACATTCTTTACATCTAATATAAATCGACGATATTCTTTTTGACTGAAAGCCCTCTCAATACACAATAAAACACAATGGCCGAATAATATATTTTCATTTCATGTTTTTCATTATTTCTTTAAAATCTGACATCTCACAAAAGAGATAAAAGTGTTTTAATGGAAGCTTGCGAACAGTGTTCCTTACGAAAGGAAGAAAAAGGAAGGAGCAGAAACGAAACTCGTGAAACAAGACGATGAACCTTATATGTCGTACGATAGTCTACTATTTCCTGGCTATTTATTTAAAGGGTTTGCTGCAATCTTTGAAGTTATACGCCGGCCATCCTCCGGACCTTGTAAAATGTACTGCTGATTTTGACGTAAGTACACTTTCTTTTTTATTATTAATTTATATGTATCATTTATAATCAAAGAAATATAAAAAGGATATTTGTTTGAAAATATAACCATTACATCTTATTCCAGTTCAAAAGTTACAATAAATATCATATTTCTAATATATTGTGACTCTTGTGAAATTTACATAACATTTATCTCTTATTTTTATTTCATTATAATTTATTTATAGTTTATATTTATAAGATTTCTAACAAATTTACAAAATTCTATTAAATATAAAATGTTAATAATAATAATATTTTATACTCGTAAACTACTAAGTTTTTTCTAAATAGGATATTATAAAATAATATTGCACATTGCAAAATATAAGTTTATCAATATATCTTCGCAGACAGAAACTGTCTATTAGCAAATGAAGGTAGTCTACGATATTTGATATCGGTAAGGATGCGTAATACTACTTTGTCGCTCCGATTATGGATGCTTGCGTCCGTGATTATCGTATTAGGATATCCTCGACAATTTTCGAGGTCTGATTTCTCCATAGCTCACCTGTTCCGCCCGGTGGGGTCGGTGGATACCCCTTGCGGGCAGCAATGTGCCGCGAACGGATCGCGGTGAGTCAGCAACGATAAATCGAGCGATTTATGAACCGGCACGGCCAACGACCATTCTCGAGGAATAATGTCGGGATCGATCTACGACGGTGAGGCGGACCGTCAGAATTTTTTGACGCCCATCAGCCTTGTTAATTGTCTCGGACAAGAGTCGGAACGCTCTTTTGTATGGCATGATGATTAAATCAATTCTCGATCGTAACATTTGAACCACTTAGAACGCGAAGATGTTCTTAGAAAAATATTTTAAATATGCTGTCATGCATATCTTTTCATCTGCTGAGCGAAATAGTTATTATCTTTTGCTTTTTTAATTTTAGATTAAATGTTTGTTATTAAATTTAGTTTTCTACATTTATTTTACCATTACATAATTTCCGTATATAACAGATTCAAAAATATTTTTGTGCCAGATGGATCGTTTTAAAATTAATTACACTTTATAATATTTTCCGAATTGTAGGCAACAGATATGAGAACAAAGAACTTTTCAAGAACAATATGACTATAGATTTTTCCAAAGCTAAAATTGATTTTAAATTTGTTAAAATTCTATCATATTATTAATTTTGAGCTTATTCTCTGTATACACTCTGTATACGATAAAATACTAAATTATGATAAAAAACATCTGCTAATTATACCGCGAAGTATCATAAAATCACAGATAGTTTTTCTTGCAAACACATTTACTAAAGTGCTCAGCAAAGCCTGCGGTATCTCTTACAATTTCCTTGATAACTTTTATCGGACAGGGCTAATTTAATCGATCACGCAAAAAGCTATACGGCTAATTAGTGTCATACTTTTTACGCCCATTTTACGATCTAGATATACATCGTGGCCATTAGTGGTATTACAAGATCACATCACAGCTCGTTACGATAAATGTAACATTATGCGAGAGAATGTGATTTTTGTAAATAATACTTTTACACACGAAATTATCGAGAATAACAATATGTTAATTCTCCATCTGAATAATGCAATGCAATTTATTAATATCCGAAAATTAACAAAGCATTGAAAAACTATACATATATATGATTTAATCCGAAGTTGATTTTTTTCTAAGCGCAAATTTGATTCGATGCTATTGTCTTATATATTTTTTTTAATTTTAACATTCAGCTGGTAATTAAACGTCACGTGAAATTCCGTTCGCGTAAAATCTATTTGGAATTAAATGAAGAATTAGGATTTATTATTTCTGTCGGCACTAATGAAAGTTACTTCGCGGAAGGCTGTTTAATTTCAATCGCTTAAAAAGAAAGTCTTGACAATTTTATAAGAACTTTTTTCTCACTTAAGTATTCTTAACACAATGCAAAAGTTTATACATGTAGCTCGTTTCTTTTTCAGTGCACCATACATATATAAGTGCTTTTTTCTACAAATTACATTAAAATTGCCAAGTTATCCCGTCGAAAAATTTCCACGAGGTTTTGCATAATCCCTTTAGAAATTATGCAAGGATTTCAATAGCGCGCACCATAAGCGCTCACAATATTTGATCCCACGTGTAATCACAGATTTCTACAGTTATAAATTTTTCCCGGATTCTCTTGAAATTTCTCGCTCGTTACAACGTTACCGTGATAATCGCTCGAATCAGAATGCCACGGACGAGAATTCATTTCGATGTAGATTTCGTTCATTCATTGGTAGCTGTATCTCGCTCCGCGAGATCACGAAATTTAGAAAGTGAATATTTTGTATTTACATAAAAACAAATTAATCTGACGGCGACGTATTATGAGGATGATGTGTCGCATTATGTATTCGGACATTCCAGCACAAGCGATATAAATCAATCGATCGAATATCACGGATTTCATTAAGATTCAAAGCAGCCTGCCGTTGCTTAGATTACAAAGTCTAAGATTTCAAGAAAAAATACCATTTTCTAAAGACGACGCTGTTCTTTCCCCGTCGAATCCTTTCCCTTATCGCATGCAAAACACAGATGATAGCGTTACACGTTGCAACGAGGACTTCGTATTTCGCTTATCGCGTATTACTGTGGTTTCACGCATTGTCGATAATTAAAAAGTTGGCGAGCAGCCAAACATTTGCTCAGAAGTCTGAAAGCTGCAATAAAAATGCATTATTTCTAGGCGTAATATCGCAGATATCCCCGTCGTGGCATTTTTTCCCGCTTAGAATAAAACTCGGTCGATCAACAATTAACTTTTAATAGCACTATCGCGGAAGCATTAAATTCTGCTATTTCATGCTTTGACCCATCTGACTGAAACGTATCGAAAACTAATTGGGCTTTTTCGATAGATTAATGCGCTTCATCAACTATGCGATCGGGAAAATTTGTAATACGCAAATAAAGCGATGAACACAACTTCATTCAGTGTCTCTTAATCCCGTCGTTTTACAAATATCATTCATATTGAAAATCTCTTGCACATGCTATTATAGGTGTATTATTCATTTTTATTAAAATAGCGACGAAAAAACGTACAAGTAAATATTTCAAAATAATAAATAATAATTTTGTAGCAAAAGCAAAAAATTATTTATACGAAACAAAAGTAGGATAAGTTCCTATCCTATAAGTTCCTATCCTTATAAGTTCATACTACCGCTTTAAAATAAAAAGCTTTTACTGCTACTTTCAGCTCTAAAAGCATCTGCTTCATTTTTATTATTTACGCAATCCATTATATGTATACACATACATATGCACGTGTATATATAGTTTAAAATTATTTCACATTTTAACTAAACATAATAAATAAACACATCATGATTATTAATAGGCACGATATTTGTGAAAATACTGTTATTTCTCTATCGTGAATTCGGGCGCGAATCGGACGAGAGTTCTAAATAACGGATCAAACATTCCAGCCTTGTACGGGACCGGCATGTGTGGGAAGTACAATTTGTCTGCGCCGACATGCCGGCGGAAAAAAAATAGTTTCCGATTGAATTTAATGCTCCACGCTGGCTGCGTACACTCCAATCAGCCGGAGTATCAAAGAGCGAACCGGGGCAAACGATAAACGATCAAGAACGAAAAGAAAGGAAGGATGAGAACGGACAAAGACGAAAAAGGCACGCGGTCGGAGAGTAATAAAAAAATAATAAAGAGAAAAAAAGATCTCAATGTAGAAAAAAATGTATAAACGTTTCGCATTAATTCAATTTTCAATTATACGATAGCATCATCGACCGATTAATCGTTGACCGATAAACCTATTCCTATTCGCTCGACCGATATGTGGCAATTATATCTTTCGCGAAGCTCTCTTTCTTCGACTTTACGTTTTTTCACTGTTCCGTCTAATCGGCTTACTCGTGACACGAACAAACACCTGCACTACTTGAATAAAATTTATTGCGTCGAATGAACAATTCTGCCTCCTTATTTGCCGGCATGTAGTCGTCCGTTTATAATTCACCGGAATCGTCCACTCCAATTCATTTGCCGCGAGCAACTTGCGCGATATACTTTTCAACCCTCGATTAACAGCCACAAGTCACAAAATGAATGATACATGGAAGATCTATCGCGTCAATTTTTATCGCGATACAGACATCTCATTTTCTCCATTACGGCGATAAACCCGCGCTCTGCGTTAGGTTGGAACCAATGGTTTTGTTATAAATAAGCCAGCCTTAACCGTGCCCAATTTATACGCGTCCCTCTTAAGGGCTCGATCCACGGTACATACCATAAATATTTCCTCCTTATTCCCTCGCTCCCGTCATTTTCCAATCTCTTACCACTTGTGTTATACGGTAACGCGATAATACCGCTTTACATGGTAACATGAAGGATATCCGAGTCTCACATTTTCGTTGTAACGACGAAATATCGAAGCATACATAATGTAGTATTATTTTACCAGCAACACGTAACTATTGACGAACAAATAAGAAACAAATCTTGAAAAATATAGAGCTTTCGTGTATTCCTTACCGAGGATACTGCAATGAAAAAATACCCACTAAAAAATAAAAATCTTGAAAGATATATATGATGGTTCCATGTTTTCCATTAGATATTCACGATATTTCATAATGAGATAAAAAGTTGCCCGTAGTAAAAAAATATCTAAATAGAACCATTTGTAAATTGCTCTTTTTCTGCATTTTTGTAACGATGAATTATTGAGACATACATAACGAAATACACAGACCGGTATATAATTCAATTACACGTAAATATCATCCTGTCTCTCTCTACCTTTCTATAAATAAATTGGTATCAAATTTCACAAAATATGAAGCTCTCGTATATAATCGTCCTTATATAATATAAATATTAAAAAAAAAATACTTTAACTACAATGTAATCATTATTTGCATACATGAGCATTTATAATAAATCACTAGAAATCTATACGTCATAAATCATTTACCGTATGTCACAAAATAAA